CTTATTTGGGGAAAAAAGTCTTAAGACTCTGTCTCCGGGGCTATGCCTAATCCAAGAGACTAGGCTCCTTTGTTTATTTGAAGACAAAAATCCTTAGACTCTACCTCCGAGGCCCTGCCTCTTCCATAACGGTACACTTAAGAGAGTTTATGCTTCAAAAGTTATATTTCTTCAAATTCATTACATTCCAAGGCCGAATTATAGCATTTTCTTCCATATCTTCTAACTTATACTACCCAGAGCCTCCTATTGACGTGACTTTGAATGGTCTTTCTCAGTTAGGTCCCATTTTTTATCTGCTGGATCCCGTTGACCCCTCCTCTAACTCCTCCATGCCCCCTCACCCGAACAATTTTCAACGGAGGTCATTCTAAGCCAATGACCTAGTTTTCTTGGTTGGAACCTCTAGGAGCTGTCCCTTGGCTCTCGGACGCTTCGGAGCCTTGGAGCTTCCTGCTCTGCCACTCAAGCGGTTCCTCAAGTCCTTGGCTCCCACCTCCCTGATGGAGGGCTCCTACAACTGCTACAAGTCTCGAGATCCTCCGTCAGAAAGTGAAAATTCATCGAGTCGATTTAGAACGTCCATATTGTCCTCCTCTAATTGTCATAGTCGATCTCCCAATCATTCTTCAATCACATCAGCAAGTTGACGGGCTAAGGGGATACCCTTTCCAGCCTCGACACTCAGACTAGTTTTGTGGGTTTTCTCCCTGCAATGAATGAAAAGTTCCTAGTTGACACTTTTGACGTGATACTCTGTTCTCGACATGGAATGAACCGATAAATTCACATTCCTTTGCTAAAGACCCTTTTCCTTTTGACGAGTATTCACCATGGTCACTGTTCTTGAAAAATTTGGTTGAGTTCCCATAGGCGGCGCCAAACTATGCGCAATAATTTTCGCATAATAAATAATGACGAGTATTCACTATGGTCACTATTCTTAGAAAGTTTGGTTGAATTCCCATAGACGGCGCCATACTGTGGGCAATGATTTTCGCATAATAAATAAACAGACAGCTCTCTCTCTTGGTGAACTCGTATTTACCTCAGAAGTCGATGATCTCGTGTGAAGGAACACCAGAAATGATCTAAGGAGTGGTGATGAATTGCTTTTACAGCTGTCCGATCGATTCCAATGAGCCGAAGGCACTTTCTGGCACTCAAAAGAAAGGTTAGAAAGACGCCAGAGTATTTTTCGGCGTTTTCTCTTTGACGGTCAAGTTAGTTTGCAAGAGGGGAAAAGGAAAGCATTATTTTAGTGTTCTGGGGTGAGGTTTTTCGTACCTTTGCCTTACATTTGTGAGTGGTATTTATACCTTCTATAAAGGTCATCATTATTGGTAGGTGGGTCCCCCTAGGGAGAGATCTCCATTGGCCCATTTGGGAGGCAACAGGTGGTGGTGTCTAGTCCTTGGGCAGAACGCCTCCTATCTTGCATGGGAGACCAATAAGTGTTTAAATGCTCAGGCCCTCGAGCATTCAATGCCCTTCATCCAAGGTCCTCTGATAGTGAAAATGTCTCATCCTCCTGAGGGAACATTAAATGTTCTTCAGAGATGGCTATTTGCCAACATGGGTATTCTTGTCAATTTACCCCCAATCCTGTGCATTGTTCCACATGTTTAACTCTCTTTGGTTGCTGACCTTGTTCCTTCTGCCATTCTGAATTCATTGGGAAGGCAAGTCAATGATTCATTATCCAAGTCTGACCTCAACAGGCTGCAATCGTCAATAATCTGCCTTGGAGCCGAGGTGACATGTCCAAAAATACAGTCCTCTAAATCTAATCATGTAGGAGACACGTGTCTTCACCAGAGTGTTGGACGTCTCCTCAACGCCGAGGACACGTGTCTTCATCAGAAAAATAAAATAAAATATACGACCACTTCATGAATACTTCTATATGCAGAAAAATATGTATAATTTATAGTTTTAATCTCTTCCTCTTCTATTTGATTTCACATACGATGCAATACATCAACAAAAATCTATATAATTTTGAAGATACATGAGCGTTTTTCATGTATTATACATTAGGGTGAGGCTGTTCTCGCCCTTTAAATCTCCTTTCCCACCCATTAAACCCACTTACTTCAAATTAATAAGGTCACATCATCTATACTCATCCCATCAGTTACTAAATCGACCCGTCTGTATTAACTAATTAAAAATTAAATTAATTCAATTTTATTTCAATCTATTATATATGCAATGATCAAAATTTCGTTTCGATGTATAATTTCAGTATAAAAATATTTCAAAAAATAGAATAAAAAATTTAAAAAATAATTTTTAAAATATTAGTCAAAATATACTAAAATATCTTAAAACACCTTAAAATATTTCTAAGAAATTAGTAAAAATATGTCAAAATATCTTAAAACACCTCAAAATATTCTAGATCATCTCGAAACGTTGAAATTTTGGTTCAATTACTATTTTTGTTTTGATTTCTATGAAATATATATTTAATAGTTTAATTAGATATGTATAAATGGGGTGAACTTAGTTATTAATGGGGTGAGTATAGATAGGATAAACTTAATAGTTTGAAATAAGAAGGTTAAATGGCGTAGGAAATAAGATTTAAAGGATGAAAATAGCCCCACCCTATACATTATCACTTGACTATAAATGAATGTTGATTACTCTATAATTTTAACACCAAATATTTTTAAGCAAGCAATCTAGTCAATTTTTAGTTCTTATTCCTTTAATTAATCGCGTTCACTCTCAAAATATACCATAATAAGATGATAGGTAACTTTTTAAAAATAAAAATTATTCATGTTGTTTATTATTGTTAAAGAATCACTATATATAAACATATATTGAGCATACATGTATCTTATTGTTTAGAATTTTGTCGTATCACCGTTTCCATATTGTTTCGTACTCATATCTCATATTCATATCTGTGTTTCGTAATTTAACACTGATCTACATACATTTGGATATCGATCCGACAAAATGTTAAAGAGGAATTTTAGTATTCTTAACTTGGATCTTCAGCTTTCACCTATCAGCGGATAGAATAGAAGCGGTGACCTAGACCTATGAAACCGATTCAAGAATTGAGGAGGTAACATAAGAAACTCTCAATAGTTGAGGATAGAGGTGGCAATTTTAACTCATTACCCATTAATTTTGCTAACCCGGCCATAAAAAAATGGGTTGGGTAGCTATATTAATTAATATGAGTTATAAATGAACTGAGTAATATGATTCATTTTAATTAAGCGAGTTAATATAGATTACAAATAGGTACCCATTAGGTTGAGTATTTATTTTTTTATTAAATAACACAAGTAATAAAATTAAATAAATATACTAATATACCAAAAAATATGCACACTATTACACCAAAAAATACACACTATTATACCAAAAAATTCACATATACACTAATACACTAAAACATACACATACTAATACACCAAAAATACACACACTAATACACTACACATGACCCACGATCCATGGGTGACCCATAATCCATGGGTCGACCCACAGACCAACCCATAGCCCACAATTGACCCCACCTATTATGTGCGTATTTTTTTATTAAATGTATTTTAGTTTTGTGTTAGTAAATGTTTGTATTTTTTGTTTATTAGTGTGTATTTTAATGTATTAGTGTGTATATTTTTAATATATTAGTTTTTGTGTGTTTTAGTGTATTAGTGTGTGTGTATGTTTGTATTTTAGTGTACTATTAATGTGTATGCGTTTTGATGTACTAATGTGTTTATTAAGAATTGTAATTATTTTATGGGTTAATCAGTTTAATCCAACCTGTTATAAATCTAACTTATTATAACTCATTTACTAGATAAGTGAAAAATATATTAAATTTATTTTAATTTAATCCAATTTAAGTTAATTCATAACCAATCCAATCTACCCATTTGCCATCCCTAGTCCTCTTGTATGGCCTCGAATGTTGGGTTTACCTGCAGCGACCATAAAATCGGGCCCACTTTCTTCAACCCTTGCAATCATCATCTCATGGGTCTATGTTGTATCCGCCATCATACTTGTCCCGGAGCTTACATTGGCTACCATGAAGGAAGATAATATTGATGAGGTGAGCTTCACTGGCCTGGCAACAAAAGCTTTCGGAAGTCGTGCAGGTTATTCCATATGCTTCCGTGTGTTTCTCTTTGTTGGTGGCATGCGTTTCAGGCATTGGCTCTATTGTCTCACAATGGTTTCCATGGATGAGTTCTATAATTGCTCATACCTTATTTCCTTTTGTTGTTGGGGTTGTACTCTGGTTCTTTCCATTTAAGGCTATCGATGTTGCCAAAAGGTTTTTGTGCTTCCTCATGCTTTTCTCCCTAACTACACTCGTGGCCATTGGTTTATCTGTAGGGAGAACCTGCATAATGGGATCCTTTGCCCACGCTTCATGGGGTCTTTCTTCAGTCTTGCCAGCTATCCCTGTCATTGTTCTCACGTTGGAGTTCCATGTAATCACCCCATTTGTTTGCAAGATTTCTGGGAACTCTGTAAATGATGGTCGGAAAACAAGATTCATTGGTGGGTTTGTTCCATTGGTTATGGTTATATCGTGGAATCTGATTGTTTTGGGGCTTTTCGGGACATACGATGTCTCATCCTCTGGAGACCCTATCTCCCTCCTGCTCTCTATCAGCTCTGCTTCATCAGCAGTTCAAAGTTTTTCATTTTCAGCTTTGGCCACTAGCTTCATAGGTTATGCTGTTTGCTTTCCAAAACAGTTGGTCGATACCTAGGAGTTGATTTTTGGAAAATCCTACTCAAAACAAACTTGTAATCAATCTGGAACTGTATATGTTGAGAATGGAGTTGGAAAAGTTGGTTTTGTTACATACTCAGGTGAGCATTACTTTGGAAATGTGGGAAATATTTCATATGGTGGATCAAGGCAAATTCTTGCTGGAGCAGTTAAATTGTTACCTGGTTTTAGCTTGTTAGACAGCATTGTGACCCTATTTGTACTGGGTGTTCCAGTCCTCATCGCATCTCTCTCTCACTCAACCTTCTCAAGAGCCCTTGACTTCGCTGGGATCTATGCTAATTGCTTTCTGTTTTGCATCCTTCCTCCAGTAATGGCAGACATTTACCACTAAAGGAAGAAACTTAGGTATGCCAAAATATCGAAGTCCAGCTACTTTCTTGAAACAATTAACAAATCTTTGGTTCACTAATTGTCATGTCTAAGTATTTTGTTTTAACTCTTCCAAATTCTACATCAAAGCTCGTAAAATTTTGTGCTCACTAGTTGTCATGTCTAAGTAATATGTTTTAACTCTTCCGAATTCTTCATCAAAGCTCATAAGTTCAATTGGTTAGAGCATCGCTTTGTCAAGGTGAAAGCTACGATTCAAGCCCCATCAGTCGCGAAGGATCCAATAAATACAGCTGGAAACCGCAATCTCGGTGAACAACGGTCGTAACTATAACGGTCCTAAGGTAGAGAAATTTCTTGTCGAATAAGTTTCGACCCGCATGAAAGGCGTAACAATCTGGGCACTGTCTCGAAGAGAGGTTTGGTGAAATAGACATGTCTATGAAAATGCAGACTATCTGCACCTGAACAAAAAGACCTTATGAAGCTTCACTTTTCTGGCGCAGAAGGCCTTCTTTCGGGGGGCATGAGCCATCAGTGAGATACCACTTTGGAAGAGTTAGAATTCTAACCTTGTGTCAGTGCTAGAGTCATCTTACTCTTTATGGGGTAGAAATTTTCAAAATGATTTTGAAATTTATACAATTCTTGAAGGCCTTCGAATCTGTATTAAATGCTGTCATATTTATTGTTGACGTTGTGGAAAGGCAATCTGTTTTTTTCATATGTTTATTGTTCTGTATGATGTTTGACAACTATTTGCTTAATCAGTTCTTAAGCTCCTCTCGAAGGTTAGTTCACGTTTATCACAGATAGGCGGGACAAAAAAAAATTCCTACTTCATTCATGTTTTCCTTTAGATAGACCTCTATTATGAAATTTATGTGTTTGTCTTCAGCATGTCCAAATAAAAGGACCTCAACCTGTAGAAATTACTCAAATTATATAAAGGCCATGGAAATGGCCATTGCTAAATAGTAATGCTGACAATTGAAGGAGATGAGAAGAGTTGTCAGGATACATATTTGAGTTCTGGCATCTATTGAATAGAGTGGAATTACTCTGAGTAAATAATTAAAGAAACAAAATGGAATATTGGAAAAAGGTGTTCCACATAAGACACCAATATGTAACTAAACGCAGTGAATAGGACGTTAACTAAGTTTTTGGTCTGCACTAAGTTTTTGATTTTAACAACTTGAAGGTTTTTAGGATGTTGACCGACTCAGGTAGTAGTTTGTAGAATGTCAGCTGACTCAGGTAGTAGTTGTTTGATCACATAACTATTCCTTGATTAATTTCCAGAAAAATAATGGGCAAAAAAGAGTGAATCTAATCGACATCTTGTGTTTGCAGGTCATCCATCCTACCAGGAGGGGACATGGTCCTTCCTTCTACTTCTCTTTGGTATTGCTGTCATATTAGGCATTTGACATTAGATAGCTAGCTCCAATATCGAACAGGCAAATTGACTTTTTGACGTAACAAATGTGAGATATATTCCTGTTGGTTGGAGATTTAGTGAATTGTTGTGCTACAACTTTGTAAGTAACCCTCATGGTTTTATTTCAGATACCCTTGCTTTTTCAGAATTTAGAGGAAGGAAGATGTTAAGGTGTGGTGCAAAAGAATATTGCAGTGATTTAATGAATCGTATAAGGGGTTAAAAACTCTGTTGTCCCCAGTTATATTGCCTAGTTTCAATTGCTTAGTAAACAAAACAATTTCTCAATTTAACCCTCCACCTACACAATAAATTTTGATGTGGGCTATGAAGTACATATATTTCGTTGAGATCGACGTATCTGTATCAGATATCATATCGGATACTCAAAGATATGTATTGGATACATCTCCTACATATCTGATAATAATTAAATATTATGATACTTCACGCATACTTTTGTATTCAAACAACATATATAATTTTTGAGTTGAGTTTTTAGCATTTCCTTTCAAATTCACATATCATACAATACATTAACAAAAATTCATAATACTTCAAAGACACATAAGTATTTTTTAAATATTATCTACAATTACATATCAAAAAAGCATAAAATAAATCTACTACGTTATAATCTAAGCAAAAATTACTTCTAAATAAACATGACTCAATAAATATTAGTTTTGATTCCTTTAATTAATCACTTCACTTTGTGAATATACTATAGTGATACGATATATATTTTCTTGAAACTAAAAAAAATTACTAATTTTCCTTATTGTATTAAAGAATTACCAAAATATATAAGTATTAAGGTGATTCAAAATAATAAACATATTAAATATATTTTATTATACTCGTATCTTGACCGTACTCATATCTTATTTTTATAGACTTTATTGTATCATTATATTCGTATCATATCATACCTATATCTTATATCCGCATCCGTATCAAGGATCTNTATCTTATTTTTTTAGATTTTATTGTATCATTGTATTCATATCATATCATATCTATATCTTGTATCCGTATCCGTATCCGTACCTCAGGATGTGGGGCTTATGTCAGCCTCATCTGTAGCGATTATTGCCAGTCCACACAGCACGTGGGCCGCATCTTTTGTTTTCAAAGGACCACAAGAAGGACGTGTACATTTCAAGTACTTGAGTGTTCCGATATTCCGGTGAGCCTAAGCTGATATTCTTGCGCACTAATGTAGATTAAATAAAGCTTAAGTATGCTTTGTGGAAAGGACGTTTATTGTGTTTGGATGGCAGAGTTGAACTTGTTAATTTTTTTTATAACGGGTGTGTCTTTTGTACTTATGTATAGTCTCTAGTTATCACTTTGTTATTGCCAGGTTATAAGTTGTTCAACTGCTGGAATGTGTAACTATTTATCTAGATAGATACACATTTATCCTTGCTTTTGATCTGATATTCAGCAATAAATCTACTTTTTAGGTGCAAAGCCATGTTGACATTAATTTTTCTATTGAAAATTGCACTCCTCTAAAGGACAATGTAAAAAAGAAAAAACCTCTAAAGGGCAATATTAAAATTTTAAGCATTATGCTATCAGTTTATCTGGTTGTATCCTTGGGCACTGCAAAGCGAAAATTGTTTCCAACCCTTTCATACCCATTTCAATTCCTCCAAGCACTCCATGGATTCAGCTTGCTGGGAGTTGAAAGAATTTAGCTTCCTTGTGCTATGGAAGTATTTGGAGCGACAGTTGTTTGATCTAAGTAAAATGGAATAGTAGTTAGTAATAATATAGATTGATCTAAACCATTAATGGAGCCAATTAACCCCACATACATGAATTTACCTCTGTCATATTGTGGCAACAGTGGATTGGTTATTACCCTATTTGAGTCAAAAGAAATTATAATTAGTAATGATGAAAATTGATATAAACCATCAGCCGAGTCCATGGATCCCACATATATGATTTTTACGCCGTCGTGCTATGGAAGGCATGGACTAACTCTTCCATTATTAAGTCGCATGAAATAACAATTAGTAATGATAAGACTGATTTAAACCGTCAATGAAGTCATGACCCCACATGTATGAATTTAGTGAATTAAATGTTGCATTATTTAGTTAACATTGATTTCAATTAGTTGTGATACAGACTAATCTAATAAGGAGTGAGGTCAATTGACCCCACAATACAATAATTTAATTCCACCGTGCAATGAAAGCAAGGGATTGATTGTTGCATTCTTGAGTGGAATGGAATAGTAATGATGCGGCTGGTCTTGGCAATGGCTCCACACAGGAATTTAGGCCTGCCGTGCTAGGAAGGCAGTGGACTGAATTATACATTCCCAAGTGGAATGGTCATGATATTGATGGCTTCTACATTCTAGTGGATGACAAGGTGTGGCCTGTAAATTGTCCAAACGTAAAAGTATATATCATTATTTTAATTACTATACAGCTATAAATCAATAAAAAAAATTGATCGTATCAAAGAGTTTGTAGTGGTGAGATATGTATGATTGATAGTACTGTTGGATATACATGTAATTAAAATTTCATGTATCTATCAAAGAAACAATTCAATTTGAATATATTGAGTCCAACTTAATTTCGTTATAATTGTTTTTAGAATACTTCGGAAGCCGGTACACTTTGTACGACTTATTAAAATAAAAATGCATTTAAAAAAATTTGGATAAAAGTCTACTTTGAATGAAAATGGTTGTAATACTCTTTAATAACACCCATTGAAGCATCAAAAACCAGTTACGAAAACTCAAACTCCACTGCCCTTAAACACAAAATTCACTTCGATCTTCAAACGGAAAGTCATTGATTTTGCCCATTTCAAATTTTTAAATCAAAACAAGATTTTCTGTTCTATTATTTTCAGAATCATGGTTTTCAAGGTTTGATATTAAATTGTGATCTTTAAATAACAAAATTGAGTAACTTGTTATATTTTTTTAATATGTTGTCACATTATTTTTTAGTAACTTATCACATTATTTTTTATGTTGTTACATTATTTTTGAATAACTTGTCACATTGTTTAATATATTGTTACATTTATTTTTGAGTACATAGTCACATTTTTCTAATATGTTAGTCATATTATTTTTGAGTAACTTGTCATATTGTTTAACGTGTTATTACATTATTTTTGAATAAATTGTCACATTAAGCTTTATGTTGTTACATTATTTTCAAAAAGAACCAACGTGTCTGGTTGACTAATTTCCGTAGAGATAGAAGTGAAGATGAAACTCTGAAATAATAAAATAAAAAAAAAAGCCAAAGTCTCGCTACANTTTGAATAAATTGTCACATTAAGCTTTATGTTGTTACATTATTTTCAAAAAGAACCAACGTGTCCGTTTGACTAATTTCCATAGAGATAGAAGTGAAGATGAAACTCTAAAATAATAAAAAAAAAAATACATGCTATGAACAATGAAAAGTTTCTTCGAAAAAAACTAAAATGTTGAAGAAGAAAAACTTTTTGTTCAAAAAGATTATATCAAATAAATTAATATCAATTTTTTAAAATTCAAATGATTGTATATATTACAATAACATTGAAAAAAATCTTTTCATATCATTTATACATGAATCAAGGCATGGATAACTAGGTAATATTTTAAAAAAAATTGAAAAGTGTACTTACTTACAATTTTTGATACTTATTTTGAATTTAAATATTTACATGTTAAAACTTAAAACTTATATCCAAATAAGACCTAAAAAGTGTATCCACACCAAATTTTTCCTAGTTTTTATACATGAGAGCCCATTTTAATTAATAGCTTAATAATATTGTTGGTCCCTAAAATATGTATTTTTTATCAGTTCTTATTGCATTAATTTGGTCTCTAAAATATTAAATTCGTGTCTTTTTTGTTCCTACGTAGATGGACCGTTAAGTTTTTGATAGAATAATCATGTGTTGAGCACATGATACAGTCTAAAAAAAGGACACATGGTTAATTCTGTCAAAACAATAGACGGATGGTCTGATTAAGGACTAAAGTGACATGGATTGAATACTTTAAGGACCAAATTGATTAAATTAATACTATGAGAACTAAATTAATAAAAAATGCATACTTCGGGGATCAAAAGTACTTATTAACCCTTAATTAATACTACATAAAAGTCTGATTCCGTTGTTCGAATGTAAACAAACATGGTGATTGGTAAAATCACTCACTAAAAATGCTATGTGAGCCTCAAATGGTATTTTTCATTACTAATTTAAAAATTTATTCTCCATTGTACCGTTTAAATTGAAACTGAAAATTTTATGAATATAACTAACGAAGTTAGTAGTTGATGAAACACGAATGTAACGTTGCGTGCCGAACCAAAAATATCTGTAACCATTTTCTCAAAGTCAAATCACCAATATTGGTCGATGCACCATTTGAACAAATACTTGGTCTCATTTGCATTCTTGGAAAGAGTTTAATGCTGAGTGAATTTAATACATAAGTAAATTTGGCTCCATTTTTCACTATGCAAATATTATAATTTGGTAATATCTTTTTTTCTTTCATTTTGGAACCCAAAATTTACTTCAACATCATCTACCATCTAGTCTCAAAACTGTGTGTAAATGTATTCTTTAGTGTATCATCAAGGGTTGGACAGTGAGCTACATACATTGGGAGCTAACTGGGATCTCCAACTTCCGCTTATCAGTGGAGAAAATAGAAGTGGTGGCCTATGAAATCCATTTCAAGAGTTGAGGAGGTAACCTAAGAAACTCCAAATAGTTGATCAGGGGATAAAGTGAGATCAGGGCCATGGAGTCAATTGTAATTTACACATAATAATGATACAAGAAATTAAGGGCCATGGAGTCAATTGTAATTTACACATAATAATGATACAAGAAATTAAGTCCGCCGTGTTGGGTGGATAGTTGACTGGCTTGTGCATTTCTAGATCAAATTGAATAGTCATGACTTTGAAGGTTTGACCGTGTTGGGTGGATAGTTGACTGGATTGTGCATTTCTAGATCAAATTGAATAGTCATGATTTTGAAGGCTTGACTTGTAAACTATCCAAAGGCCTCAACCCTCCATTTAATTTGACACCACTTTGCCATGAAATAGAAAAAAAGAAGTATATATATCAGAATCATAATAACTACACAGCTTCAGATCAGAAGTTAAATATGAAGGACACAAAGGGTTTGCAGTGTTGGGTGGTAATGTTAGGTCTTATATGGTTTTGTGGTGTTGGATGTTTTGGATGTTGGGAGGAAGAGAGGGTTGCTCTCTTGCAATTCAAAGCTTCCATAAACTACCCAAATGGAACTTCTTTGCCTTCTTGGGAGGACAGAATGGAAGGTTATAACACTATGGAGAGCAACTATTTTTATTGAGAAGGAATTGAATGCAACAAGACCACAGCTCATGTAATTAAGCTTTCCCTTGACTTTACAAGGAGCCGGAGTTTAGGAGAATGGTATTTAAATGCCTCTTTGCTACAATCTTTTTTCATTCCCGAGTGGAAGTGGTACCTTATTAGAATGGACTTTGTATTCGACTTAGGACCAATAAAGATCATAAGGAAATTTGGATAATTGTGGATATACTCACTAAGACCGCACATTTCTTGCCCGTGAAGACCATAGATACATTGGTGACATTGAGTCAATTGTATATTCAAGAGATAATGAAGCTCTAATGGGCGCCTTTGTCAATTGTGTCGATCGGGATACTAGATTTGTGGAAAATGTTTCCAAAGCTTACAAAAGGCCCTTGGAACAGAGTTTCACTTTAGCAAAACTTTGCATCCTCAAACGAACGGCTAATCTGAGAATGGTGATTCATATCGTAGAAGATATGTTGATGTCATGTGCTTTAGATTTCACGTGCAGTTGGAGTGAAAACTTGCCTCTGGTGAAGTTTGCATACAACAATTGTTTTCAGGGTAGTATTGGGATGGCTTCATATAAAGCATTGTATGAGAGGCCCTATAGATCACCAATATGTTGGGTAAAGGCAAGAGAAAGTAGTTTGTTAGGACTCAAAATTATAAGGGAGATAACAGAGAAATTTCAATTGATCTAGGATAGATTGCGCACAACTCAGAAATGGCAGAAAAGCTATGTAAATTGAAGGAGGAGGCCATGACAGTTTACGAAAAGTGACTATGTATTCTTGAAGGTGTCACCCCAAAAAGAAGT